CATTTTCACTTTTTCGTTTGGCCGGGGGGGGGGGACAGTATTTTCTACGTTTTCTATACCCTTTGTTTCCCAACCTATTCACGGTCTTCAATTTATCCTCTAGCTCTAATATTGTAAGTTGTGCTTAGACTTCGAGACACTGCTGATGAGCTGCGTCATTCATTGGAAGCAAAACAAAATGCTCTTGAACAGTTGCAACAATCCTATTTTGAGAAGGAACAGGTATTGATCATGTTGGTACTATTTTTCATTACCGCACGCTTAAAGTGATATTTGTATAAATTCGATGATTCTTGTTTTATATGTCACTATTATACATGTGAAACCCGAAGATCTTCATTGATTTGTAGACATTACTGGTCAACTATGTTTCGTGCCTCGACAAAAAATAATATCTTTGTGGTGAACGCATATCTATTTGTGCATGCATTAATGGTGCATAAGTAATACCTCAGGTGTGTTCTCTTATCGAATTCAGCAAAATTTGAAGCATAATCCTAACAACCCAGTTATGTTCTTTGTTGAACAAGGCATCGATGCATAATAAAGAAATTCTGAATTGGAATTGGAATTGGTCTAATAATTCCTCGTAAGCTGGATTTCTTGACATAAAGCTTCCTATCAGAGAGAGTAGTGAGGTCCACCTATTCCAAAGTGACTAATAAAGTACTCTTATATCTTGGTTGCTCATTTAGTAAATCGTACAGCCACCTCATGCCTTTTTTATGCTGGTTTGTAATTTGGCAGTCTGTCATGTTTGATCATGTCTTCATTAAAGAATATTCATCACTCAAGAGGCTCAAAAGTTTTATACTGTTTGCACTTTTATATAGAGTTCATGTTAATATTTGCAATTCTATATGGGTTAACATTGGTTCGTTCCTCCTGATGTCTGGCTTTTCTTTAACTTCTTCTGTGGCAAAAACAATTGTTGCTTGGGATGCCAAATTTTTATAACATGGACTGTTGCCCATCGACGATAAGAGTTTTTCAAACTTGACTCATGGTTCAAATATCCTTCTTTGATCACAAGAATTTCAATGCTTCCTCAGCACACATGAGGTTAGTTTCATTATCATAAGTTGCAATTAAGAACTTATGAGATGTCTTATGTCAATATTTTGCCGTAACTTAAAGGGAACAAACGTCTTGATTTCTTCCAGTCTTCTTGTGATACTTTTGTAGGTGTCTGTTGGTTCTAATAATATATTCACATGTTTCATATGAAAAAAATTATGCACATGGTGGTGATACAGACCCAAAGGTTAACTAGAGCTCCATTTTTTATCGTACCAAATATCATAGCAATTGTTATTACATGAAACAGTGTGCAAGTCTCATAAACAGTATTCCTATAATTTTATGATGGCAGGATGGTCCATTTCTTTTCTTTTATAGAAATGAATTTAAACCTTTGTACAGAAGTTAGCTCATCTCAATAGAGGTTATCTAGATGCACACACATATTCATTTATACTTTCATCCTTAAGTCTCTTCTTACTTTTCTCATCACGTTATTTTGTTCAAAGTTAAGAATGGTCTCAATGAGTCTCAGTTTCTTCATTTGTTTTTAAAATAGCAATCATTTTTATGTCACAATGGATCTTAGAACATTCATATATAATTATAGTTGCTAAATTGTCTAGCTGTTAGAAGAAACTCGGGGCTTACTACATGCAGGGGAAGAGAAAAGGCAAACATCAATTGTAGAGCTTTCTGCTAAACACCAAAAGGTAAAATAAAGCTTCGTGTTTGGGGTTCTGGTTGACTTTTTTTAGTGGTCTTTATATGACTAGTTCAACTTTTCTACACACCAAAATTTGATCTTCTGTATTTCAGCAAGTGGAGGACTTGGAAGCGCAACTTGCGGACGCTCTATCTGAAAGAAGCAAGGCAGCTTCCACCATCTCTTCACTGCAGGTGAAATACACTACTATGAAAATCGGAACTTATTAAATTTTTACTCGGTAGGATTTGAGGCCCTACTTAGCCACAAATTGAAAATTCCCACATGTCTGGATGCTCAAGATCAAACATAGTTTCAAGCTATTATTTCATGTTTTGCATTTTTTTTATCTCTCTAATCTGTATTAGCAGTTCTAACTAGCTTAATTTTCGCTTCTTACAAGGTTAATTACTTAATTATTTTTTATGTCCAAATCACTGACCCTTCAAGTGTTATTCGTTCTTCACATTACATTTAACAACTTGGATTTCCAACAAATCACCTTTAAAATTGGTGCAGTTATGTCGATGTTTTTGGCTTCTTTTATTGACAGTCCAATTTTCGGACTGTAACTTATAATTCGCACAAGATGATTTGAAAGCATCTATATACATTCAGGGATTTTGATAGTTGGGACCTTCTTAAGATTGTAGGGAACTTCATTGTAAGATTTTTACATTCCTCTTCAAACTGACTTGGAACTTCAAGATTGTTAAGAGTCAGAACAGTAACATTCGAACTAGGAAAACCCATATGAACTGTTACAGTGCATTGCAGAAGAAAGAGTAGTATCCTGGGATAGGATAAACTGATTACTGCAGATTTCTTTAGGGTGAAGTTGAGGAAGGAGAGGACATAGAGGGATCTCAGATCTTGGTTCTTATCAATTGGTATTATAATATCAATCAGTATATATCTTTGGTAAAAAACAGAAATAAAGCTTGAATGTTGTCATATTTATAGCATAAATGTAAAGATCTAGTTAAGCTAAAGTTAAAATTCATAATAACATTCAATCTAATAATAGATAATGGATAAAGGCATAATGATAAAACCCTGGAGAAACTTAAAATCCCAAGCAAAAGATAAAGTTAACTCTTAAATATTATTTATATTCAAACTTAAAAGTAATAATTAACTGAGAGATAATATAATTTCAATTTCCTAAATGTGCAAATTCAATTTCTAAGGTAGTTTTCCAGGCTGTAAAGGATCTTTTATTATGACATCATCTGCATCCCTGATCCTTCTGAAATTTGTTCAGAATTTCAGAATACCCAAAAGAAATATGCTGTAAACTTGTATCTAGGATTGTTTTTTTCCATCTAATTCCCAATTTCTCATCTCCTTTAAGTCAAAATTGGCAAGTAAGTTGAATCTCCTATAAAAATGGAAATTTATATCTTATTAACTACATTTTATACGTGGGCTGTATTTAGCACCATCTACTGACTTGGAAGAAAGCTAAATAATGGAATATTAAGCTAAAGATGAGGCACGATTTAAAAGGGAAAAAAATTCCACAGTATATTCTCTCTTGAACTGTCCGCATTTTCCTATGTTTTTTTTTTCATTCTCCCGATGGACCCACTTTTCAGAAGAAAGGTGATTTCACACTTTCATCCCACTTCCATCCCACTTACATCCCACTTCCATATAGCCAAACACCAGCTTACAGTTAATTAACAAAAAAGACATCAAAGCTAAATATAGAAGTTTGTTGGCTTTTACTCCTTTGCAGATGCTGCTTGGTGAGAAAGATTCCAAAATTGCAGAGATGGAAGCAGCTTCAACTGGTGAAGTTGTACGTCTTAGTGCTGCATTGGAGGAGGCAAGAGGGGAGCTTGTTCAGCTTGGAGATAAGCATGTCCGGTTAAGACATTTTTCTATTGTGTATTTTCTGCCATTTCATAAGCTGAACTAACAGGATTGGTTTTAATAGTTTATTGCACTTTGACGTACCCAACCAAATTCACATGGAAAATGTTCATCTTAGGTTTTGACACGGATGTGTATTGTTTAAACTGCTCCTGAATTGCTGAATAACTAAACCTAACCATACTCGGTATATTCTGTAGGTGAGTCTAAACTATATACTATGTTAGTACCACCTACTGATTGTTATATAAATGTGTATGATATACTTAGATGTGATATTTGTTACAGAATGGTCATAATTCATACTATGTCTATATAGTAGCAACTTATGTACATGGTTGTTTTAAATATCTTTCCACTAGCTAGCAACTTCTATGTATTGCTTTAACTAAAATTTGTCTTATCGTAATCATTGCAATTAGTATAATAAATAGACCATCTCCTTGTGTCTGGAGTTAGCAGTGGGATATCTTTTATAATCAAGATTTTTTGTTATTGTACAATTGTTACCTGAACTCTTATGTGTGTGTGTGTGTGTACTCTTTCAAGTTTGAGCAATCCAACTTACTTCGCCTGCTAGTCATTTTAGTCAAGTCAAACTGGCTAGGTCCATATTGCTTTGTGTGTGACTTTGCATCCAGAAGTTACTTTACATTCTCGATATTTTAATCATCGTAACCTTTTAATAGCAACAGGTCAGACTTATGTCTGATCAGCATGAAATATGCAAGCCCTTTTTATAACATTATCATTTACCTCTTGTTTTTAATCTAAAATTTGGTCCAATTTTATCCATCACTTGGTCGGAACTCGGAAGTATCTGATGTTAGGCATTCTCTCGCTTTTATCTACTTCTTGGCTTTCCCATCCATCGAACTTCTGCCACATTGTAGGATGCTCTTACTGGTGCACAGTCTACGGCATACCTTTAGGTGGCAAGTGTCTCACATTTATTCATAAAGCTGCTAACAGGTCGTATTTTTCCTTCACTAAAAGCAAAATACATGGTCTCCTATGCGCCTTAAGTCATTTAATATCTTTCTATTGTTATCAGCATAATTTTAAGCATTCAATGATCTAAGTTCAGTAGACTGTGGAATACAAGTCTAGGTAGTATTCATGAGAAGAGGGGCCAAATTTTTTAGGATTGGCTGATAATCCACCTATGAGTTGGTGGAAAGTTTGTAGGCAGGGAAAATTGTAATGGACGATCTCCATGAGGGAAGAAAGGATTTGAAAAGGGTGAAAAAACCCATCTGGCCTGTAATATTGCTGTGCTATATAGATTCTTGGATTCCATTCATTTGCCATCCCCCTGCCTGGAAGGAGCCTATAAATCATAGGATGACATTCCTAATATTTCTTTTTCCTTGTTCAAACTTAAGACTACAAAGATTTGTTTCCATAATCATATCCAAGTTGAAATTTAAGTCAAGTTTATGTATTTATTGGGGTTTATTATTTTCAGTCATATGTAGAGAAATTATCCCTGTTTGTGCAATTGGATCTAGATCCACATCCTTTCCTCATCCAGGCTTATCACCATTCTTCTTTTCCATTTAGTCTTTATATATTTCAGATATTTATTTGTATGTTTTCTGTGTCATCTATCAGGAACAAGAAAAACAAAACTGGGAAGCAGTTAGTCAAGCCTTAAGAACTAAACTGGAGGCATCTGAGAGTGCCTGCCTGCGATCTGAGATTGAAGCAGCTAAAATGAGAAGTATGTTTTAGTAGATTCTGTGTAATTTCGGAGATTATTTAGGTTAATGGATGATTATATGATATTGATTTTGTTCATTTACAGGTCAATTGGAATTGGAACTATCTATGCAAAAACAATTATTGACTACTCGAGATGCTGAACTTGTGACTGTTAAAAATGAGGTACTGTGGTTCTCCATACTACCTGATTGGTATGTTGAACCTTTAGGCTGACTTGGTTTCTATGAGCGTATTTATCAATTGACAACCTTTGATGTAATTTGTATCTATATTTGGCTATCAATTGAGTATCTTTCTGGATAACAAGTTAATACTAATAATATTGTCCAATCGGATGTGGAATTTAGTATCTATATCTGCGTCTAATCCAAGTACAAATCCAACTCCCTACACTCACTATAACATTGAGAATAGGTTGAATGTGGCTATACGAGATCTATACTGAATAAGAGTGAAGCTTGTGAATCTGGTAGCCTGCACCCTTGTCATATGTATTCATATGCTCGACAATAGGACAAATTTTCATTTTCGACCCTTTTTGAAATTTATTTATCAAATTCGACCTACTTTGCAGTTTGCACTTCTTTATCATTTTCGACCTAGTTTCAGCCACCTGGCAGAAACTGGGTTGAAATTGATAAATAAGTGCAAAAAACTATACGAGATTGAGAATCCCGTGTAGTTTAGTAGAAAATTAAACTACACGGGATTCTCAAACCCGTGTAGTTTAGTAGAAAATTGAACTACACAGGATTAATAGTAATAACATTGTCCATCGGATGTGGACTTTAATATCTATATGTGTCTAATCCAAATACAAATCCTACTCCCTACACTCACAGTAACATTGAGAATAAGTTGAATGTGGCTATATGAGATCCATACTGAATAAGGGTGAAGCTTGCGAATTTGGTAGCCTGCATCCACGTCAGATGTATTCACATGCTCGACAATACCTGGTTGTGATAGAACTTAAACAACTGTACAATATTAATTTTTTCATTCACACACAATAAACCACATTAACCTTTTATGTTGAAGCCTTCACCGAATTTGTTTTAATTAATGGTATTGACATTCTACGCTTAGTCCCATATCAATTTGGCAGATTAAGGTAATTTCAGGACAAATATTTTATTAGTTGTTTATTGACCTTAAATTCAGAGATTCAGTTTATAATAATTTGATGCAAATGGTTTTTTTCCTTGTCATAATTGAGAATTAATGCCTTCAGAACTACAAGGCGTAAGTATATTTCATATGCTTTCTTTTTCTTTCTTGCAGATTAATGATTTAAAAAGAGAATTCCTAGCATACAAGGACCGTGCTCATGCTCTTCTCCAGAAAAAGGATGCTGAGATATCTGCAGCTAAGGATTCGGAGCTATTTAAAGCTCAGGAAGAGGCACTCAATGTATGGAGCATTCTTATTTTCACTTTTCCAGGAGAAGCTTGAGTTCATTAGGGGAACAATACTTATTTTCTATCTTAGTTTCTTTGTTTTAGGAAGCTGAAAGAGATTTGACTGTTGCATTATCAGAAAGGGATAAGGCCATTCAAGATCTTCAAGATGCATTGGCTAAGCATGATAAAGAACTCACAGAAAGGTGAAGTCTTTTTAATTATTATGACAATATAACCAATTGCTAAGCCTCTGCATGTCATGTATATAGAGGAAAATTCTGTTTTCAATCACACAATACCTATGGACCCTCCTTTCCCAGAGATGTTTATCTATGATTAGAACCACAAGCTCTACTTATGCTTTTATAGGGGAGAGAATTACAGGGTGTTTGATGAAGTTCACTGGAACATGTTCAGATTAATTTTAAGGGTTCTTTATGAGTATTAGTCAGTAACATTTACAATAGAGACAATCAACTTCACTCTATGAAAGCGATTGAGGGTTTTGGACAAAATATGATGGGTTCAAAGAGAACATACTTTCATTGTGTCAATTTACTAATGATAATTTCCAATCCTTAAAATGTCTTGCATAGCCTCCTGGGAGCAAGCAGAGTGAATTTGTAACAATATTCATGACTATGGAAACTTATTATTTGCTGTTGAATTATTCTAGCGACATATTTTAACCAACACAAATCTCTGGAAAGTGCTGTGCACAGGTTAAATTTCTACCTTTTCTGTTGCGTAATGAACCATACTGTAAGAAACAATGATATATCCACAGAAAAGATAGATGTACACCCTTATGAAAGGATCTAAAAAGATGTAGGACAAAGATAAATGAGATATACTCTGCCTTCGATTTAAGATAGCATTTGATATCTCACTAGTTATGACCCACCATTATACAGGATCTGACAGTTGATTTGGATCTGCCTTCAACTTAGGATAGCATTTGATATCTCGCTAGTTTCGCGAGATGGACGTGACCCGGTCTAGTGAAAAACCAACCTTGGATCCTGAGCAGTTGACATCTCCTGGTAACCCGTTTACTGGGGAGGTTATCTTGTCAGCTTGTGTTCAACTTCTCATCACATGGGAGGATGATGGACATACCCATATCTATGATGTTCTCATTTTAGTTTAATGTTTCTGTCTATTTTGGGTCAATTGAGATAAATGATTTTTTTTTTCAGGTAAAGATCAGTTATTATATTTTTGCCATGCACACCTTTACTGCTGGTATTCCTTTTTTATCAACAATCTTAAGAACTTTTTTCATGTTAAGTTAGAACTTTAGAACTTTAATTACCTTAAGAAAGTTTGGTAGCTTTACTAATGGAAGATGAATCAGACAAGAATTCCTCCACCCTATGCAGGATTATGCTTTTTATATTTGTATATCATTTAGGAATAATCACCTTTGTATCCCATTCCTTTCAGGGATGCAGCTCTTAATGATGCTGAACAACAGATAAAAAGCTTAACTATGAAGCTCAATTCTGCTAATGCTCGCTTTTTGTCTGAGAAGGAAGTGTGGCAAAAGAACTTGGAGGATCTAGAAGACAACTGGAAATGTAATCTCCTTACAATTGTGTTCGCATTTTTTATCTTATTATTTTTGTTTAAATCAATTGTAAATGTTTTATGTTTGTAGTGAAATATGGCACTTTAGAGGCTCAGAACATTGGATATGTTAATGTTAACCTACAGAAGGACTTGGAAGAGCTTAATCTGAAATATAAAACATTGAAGGTATCATGCAGTTGTATTTTAAAATTTTGTTTGATCTAACTCATATTTAATCACATCATTAACTTACAGGAAGAGCATAATGCTTTCCGTGATATTGCGGACAGAGCAATTGAAGAGAAGGAAAAGGAAATTGTGAAGCTCTTGGATGAGAATAGGAATCTTCGCCATTCATTAGAGTTAAAGCCATCTGTATGTAATTCTTTTTACTGTTTGCCTTTTATAGTTTGCACTCACATGTATGAGATGGAGGTAGATTTTTTTAGAAGGATTTGTTTTCAAATTCTTCTGATTTTTTAATGATTGGATATCAAATTTGAAATTCCATTCTATTTATCTTGATTTCACTATTTATGGTGCCTAGTGATGATTAGCTTTCCCCCCATCCATCAAGGCAACAGAAATAAATAGTGTGCATATATAGTTTCCTAGATCTGTGATTTAAAGTAGATAACTTTTACAGTCCAAACAATCGATCATGATACAGGCATTTGAAACTCTTATTGACAGTTCTGGTTGCAAGTAAATTATTCCATGTCATACATATAAGCAACTTGTTACCTAACAGTCATAATTTTGTATATTAGACTATTAGTAGATCTGGGGGTGAGGGGAGAGATCATAATCACTTTGTTTTTAGTTTAGGCATTCAGGTAATGTAGATTGACTTGTCATTCAATATGGATGGTCCACCTTCAGATTTAGATGAGAAGGTGTTGTTCTGAATCCTTCTTGAAAGAACCAAGTTTATCTGTATATTATGTGTCATTCTATTTGATTCTTTTTACTGTAAAGTTGAATACTGGTGCAAAAATAAAGTGAAAATAATAGAACTGTACAACAATAATTTTTATTTTCCTGTGATACGTCAATTGAAATAATTCCTTTTCTTCTGAGGAGAAATTTGGCTCTCAATTGAAGCAAAAGGCAATCTTGTATTAATGTGTAAGCTTTTCAACTTTCTGATCGTAATCTTTTACTTCAAATAATTCAGCAAGAAGATCTTGTCCAGTCTTCTCCTATGGGTTGCTGTAGCTATTTGTCTATACAAGGGCCTGTAACCCATTAACAATGGTTTTCAGGATCCTTTATGATAAGTTGATAACAACCACCTATGATAGAGAATACTTGATCTTAGCTAATACTGTCAAGGATGAGGAAGAACTGAAGCTTAGCAAATACAGAGTGACTTTAAGTTAAAATAACTTTTTTAACAAATGGATACCACCTGACCCCATGACCTACATTTTTGTCCATCTAAAGAATTGGCACTGCTGAATACTTGCATGCAATTAATCTGATATTTGCAGCAAATATAAGTTTTTGGAGATGGAAAAAAGGAGATATGGTAAAGTTAAGTATAGTTATACTTCCACTTAGTCTAGTTTATATAAGAGAGATTTGTTCAGTTTGTGGGGCTGATTTGTTTTCTTTTGTATGAATTTACTTTTCCTATGAATTTCAAATCTTCTCAGTCTTAGTGGGCCCTACACCACTTTGGTTAATCCCCAATGAACATTCTAAACATTTAGGACCATATTTAGTTTACCAACATCATCTTTGGCAGCTATTTATCCTAACAAGCCAGCATTTCTGAGACAAATTTATCATAAACTCAAAATTTTGAAATTCTTGACATTGGATTGATGTACTGTGTTGCTACTTGCTGGTATTCGGAATCAACTTTTCCATAATGCTTCTGTAGTTCTGTAACAAGTTACTGTATTTTTTTTTAAAGAAAATTCTCAAAGGAGCATGTCATGATTTCTGTTCTGCTTTTAAACTTTCAGTTTATCTCACTGCTAGTGCTTTGTACATTACCAAAGTCTGGATCTCTTCGTAATGGGATAATCTTTTTTTCCAGGTTGACAACAATGGTAACCATAACTCAGGTAATTTATAAGGATGGTTTTATTTGGTAACTTTTAGTTCCTATTATGAATAGGATTTGGCTTTCTATGGTTACACTGTGTGATTTGGATTTTACAGGCTCCCAAAAGCAGGATGCTCAAAGTTTGGACATAGCAGCAGCAGAACAACAAATTCTGGTATCCATTAAATTCCATATTATGTTCACTGCTCATACTAAATTCACTGTTCTCTTGTTTCGTCTAGCTGTATAGACAGTTGAATATGAGTTAAAATCATCACATGACATTTATATCATAGCATCGGTTTAACTAGCAGTGAAATTAAGTTTCTATTGTCGTTAACAATGGTTTTACTGAAATACTACTCATCTAGTTGCTAGATAATTGTAAGATTTTTGACTTGTGTAGAAATCCTAGTGACTATTAGCTACAAACATTAAAGATGTTTCTCTTTTTTTACCACGTATGACATGTAAGCTAAAAAGTAACGTGGAATACACATGCATCAAAAAAGAGGACTTAAAAAGTTCGTTTATAGATGTGCAAGTGATGCAAATCATTTATGAAATCTTAGTCATGAATAAGGTAAAACGAAGAAAAAAGCAGCTTGCCTATTCAAGGTTTACCAAGGTCTTGAAGTATTATGATGCCAACTCAATTATAAACGACAGTCCCTGGATTATTCAAGAACAATGATGTTAAGGTATAATGGAGAACAGGTGCTTGGTATTTAGCAACAAAAGAATGTGCTTTTATTGGAAAACATAATCATGATCAAACTTGGAACTCCGAATTTTGAAGCCATAATACAAATGTTGAGCACCACACAAAAAAATGTCCAAAAAATACAGTGGCTTATAAGTACATGAAACAAGCCCATAATTAACTGGACGCCAGAGCTCTTCTTTCATTACGGTTCCCCCATTTTGGCTATCTGGATTGAGAACATGCTGCAGACATAAGCACATAAACTAGATTAAAATCTCGAGGGGAACTTGTGAATAAGATAGCACTGGTTCCATGCGCTTTATGTTTAAAATTTTATGAATACGTTGTCAGAGTTAAGATACAGTTAATAGAGATGTCAAATAATTTGGTTCTCTGTTCCAAGAATAAGTCATCTAGCTTCTCATTTCTCCTTTTTTTGCCTTAGGTTGTAGGTTGTTCACTTGAGCCTTGTCATTTATAATTGTTGTTTTAATTTCAGTTTCTGGCTAGACAACAAGCTCAGAGAGAAGAAGAACTTGCTCAATCACAAAGACATATATTAGCTCTCCAAGTAAGCTTCCAAGTCTCAGTGATTCGTGATCGTGGTATCTTTGGATTTTATTTTGATAATATCTTATCTGTATCAGGATGAGATTGAGGAGCTTGAACGCGAGAATAGACTGCATGATCAACAGGTAGGAACATTGCAAATCTTCACTAAAATATTATAGGGGCGCAAGCTTACAGCGTATGGTTTGCATCTTGCTTTCCAGCTTAATTGAGCGTATTTATTTCTGTTTTTGTATTAGTCAGCCTCATGAAATTTTCTTGCTATTTGTTTAATATTTGTGGTGAATTTTCTT